TGCACAGCACACAGGTAATTTTGGTTCTCTAAAGCAGTCACTACCTTCACATGCAAACAGCATGAGCGAAAATATCACCATGGTTTTTATTGAGGGTTTGAAATGCTCCAGGTGAAGTCCATGAGTGAAAACAATGCTGTGTGAATAATCACACCCTGCAAGTACCGGGTAGTTATGGGCAACATTTTCATTTTCAAAAGTGACTAAAAGACTTAGGGCTCATTTCAGAGAATCGCAGAATGGTTTGGGGTTGGAAGGGACCTCCAAGATAATTTAGTTACAATCCCCCCACCATGGGCAGGGACACCCTCCACTAGACCAGGTTGCCCAAAGCCCCATCCAACCTGGCTTTGAACACTTCCAGGGATGGGGAGATCCACAACTTCTCTGGGCAGTTAAGGGAACAGATAATTAACAATAATTAACCTGATACACTGGCATCAAAACCTCCTTGAAGACCACCTCGCTCCAGAATAAAACCTCATTTTCCTGAAGTAGCTTAATACAATCAGGAAGAGCCCATTTTCAGCACAGCTTCAGTCCATCTCTAACTCCACAGGCTTTCCATGAGGCCTTGACCCTTTCAAAATAAGCCTGCAGCTGCTAGTCCACTTACGTTTCTGAAATTTCTACCCAAGGTAAAGCAAGCTGCAAAGAGGGATAGACTGCAATTACGCACTGGATCGTACAAGTGAAAATAAGCTGGTCTGCAAAACTCCATCTTCAAAGAGTTTTCGAGGCATTAGTTCACTAGCTTCACCAACTACAAACACTAGTCTTACACACGAAGAAGTTGAGACAGGGACTTCCCTGAAGTGTTACTAAGAGTCAATACCTCTACAGAGTGTAGGACTAGGGAGATTTTGGCTTCCAATTGTACCTGCATTCAAGCAAGTATGTTTGGAGGGCTATGGGGAACAGCAATTCTCCACCACCACCACTTACTGGTACTGTAGTCAAGGCTGGCACATGCATTATTGGCCAGCTGGGAAGTTCCCTTCACCCCCCCATCCCTCCTCCCCACCCTGTAGTTCGGCTCTATCTGCGCCCCATGCACACACACGGCCCACTGCTCCAAAGAAGGCTCCAAATAAAGGGTCAGGAAAAAGAAGGTGATCCTCAAACAGGCAGAAATATTTCTAAATATTTCTAAATAAACATTAAATATTGGAAGAAAGAAAATTTCCGAGTAGAAGTAGTAGATAAATATGCTGGTCTGGAATGTTTTCTCCACTGAAAACATTGTTTTCTCCACTGAAAAAGCCTCTCTGTGATCTGAAAAAACATTCATTTTTAATTAGAAGATGAAATATGGTTCCCACCACTGTAAAAATTACAGCAAGTTATTGTGCTTATTACAAGCCTGTAAAAATTAGCCCAAACCATAAAACTCTTTCTGATTCTGTATGTCTGCTTGGATTTACTGCTGATCTCACTGATGTCACAGGCATCTCATCTGTTTTCTCTTCGCTTTTTTGCTGTCTCCTACGCCTGCACATTTCCATGAATTTTCCCCATTTTCTTACACCAAAGAGGATCTAAGTGGCTTTGACTAGAGGCTTTCCCACAGCACAACTTGGACAATATCAGATCCAGATTAGGCAGTCTGTGCTAGCTCAGTCAGAATGAAGACCTCGCGATGGATTTTATTTGCCCTGAGAGGGCCCCCCCTGTCTTGCAAGCTCAAGACTAAAATCCCTGGGTTTCTCAGTCCAATTGGTTTAGTCAGCATTCAGCCCTCATTTTTTGCCTGAAGCAGAAAAAGGGGGGAGAAGAGAAATTGAAGACAATGTTAGTGAAAAAATCTAAGCTATTTTAATCCCATGCAAATTCTGTGAGCTGTAATGAAACTATATTGTTCCACTATGTTGCTGTTGGTTGCTAGTTAACGTGCACTGCCGGTGTGTTGCTGTACAGATCTTTTGGGGTTCATGGGAAAGCGAGCTCAAAAAAGCCATGAAATAAAGTCTAATTTGCATAGTAGCAGAGGGCAGCTCAGCACCAATTTCCCTTTGATCTAACAGCGTCGAGAAGTTTTACAGTATTTTAGTCTGAAGGTGAAGGAAAGTCATCAGGGAGGAAGAGACCTTCCTTGCTAGCACCGAGTGAGTGGTATGTGGCCCCTGCACACTGAACCCTGCGATTAAGCTTCTGCAGTTTGCCCTCCCTTGGTGTCAGAGAGCAGCAAGCATCCTCTGGTATAAACAGTCTGAGGGCTGAGACCTGTGTGAACAGAGCTGAGGCGGTGGAGGGAACGTTGCTGGGCAGCCAAACTAGCCACACATGCAAGCTGATTGCAGAAGGGGAGCCACACATCCTCCTCAGAAAAAGCCCACAGTGACGGAGCTGCTACCTAGCAGAAGACCCTACCAGCAAAACTCTGGCTTCGCAGCATTTCAGCGTGGTCTCCGGCAGGGCCGAGGCAGCATCTTCAGCAGTCACATGGGGGGCAGGGCCTGCTGCGGGGCTGTGCTTCGCCTCTCCTCACATGAGTTTTGATGAACTTGGTTCAAAGCCTCTTTCAGAAGCAGATACGCACATGCCACACCCAGGCACAGCTGCTAACATTAGGCAAGAAACCAGCAGACATTTAAATATAGAAGTGCCAGGCTTGGTGAGAGGGAAGAGCTTTGCTGGTGCACCCCGACTTCCTTGATCAGCAAGCTCTTACGTTCAATGTTGCACAGAATGAAACAGCAAAGGCAATCCTTTCGTTTGGAAGAACAAATATTCCCATAAACCAAAGTATGGTATGCTAGTCCTCTGTTGGGGTGTTTTAATTTTGCAGGGGAAAAATAAAAAAACCTTCCACAGCCCAAGATTTTCAAAACCCACACAAGATTTCTGGTGAGGCAAACTTTAGATGCCCAGTTTGCCACATCGATGTTACAGTCTTCCCAGGAGAGCTGAACACCAACTGCCTCAAGACCAGACCCTGTTACACATGCCAACGTGGGCATGCAGTGGTGATAGGCGGAAGCTACAGTGGCTAACTTACTAATACAACTAATCCAACATCACTTAAGCCCTGGCTTTCCTGAGGATAAACTCTAGAGAGGATACAAGTCTTACTGCACCTGAAAGAAGAATTACCCTCACTCTCTCTTCCACTCCAGAGAAAGCCTTGCACTATTAAACGAGAAATAAAGGGCCTTCCCTTTGCCCATGCAGTGCAGCTGGCTAGTAATCTGCATTACTTGCCATAGCTTTAGGCAGCTGTTAGCGCAGGCACATGGTGCCCACTTGACTCGCCACTGCAGGTAACAACAGCCTGCCGCTGCACGACAGCAGCTCTGCCAACACTCCCAAGGCGTTTCGGAGGCACGTGCCACCGAACAGCAGGGATCCCTGCACAGGGAAAAGGCAACCCGCGGCAGGAAAGGAACTTGGGCCTGAGTTCACGCAAAGCGGCAACAGGATGACTTGTGGAGACTTATTCCAGGAACAGGTGATGGGACAGTTGTCTAATCGTTTGATGAAACATGCAGAAGTCTAGCTTGCTGATAGGCAACCCCTTCTGGCCTGAGCTATACCTGTCTTGTCTGAATTACAGATAACAAACTCTTGCTCCAGCTCACTTAGGAAAACTCTCTGGTGTGAGTATCAACAGCCCCTAAGCCTGGAGCTCTCCCCCTTCCAGAAAGCCTGGTGCCTGACCTGCTCTCTATTTGCATCCGCCTCCACGGCTCTCTCCCTGCAAGCAAGACCCGGGAACGCTAATCCCTGCCAACAAAAGCTGTCAGCACACCATCACAAAAAGGCTTTGGGGACCGTATTCTGTCACCTTGGTTCACACCAAGGAGTATGTTACTCTCTGCTGCTTCCCATTGGGCAACTGGCCTAGTGAAACCCCAACTGGCATAAGCCAAGATGGCTCAAATCTAGGCTTTAATTACCACCACCATCCAGACCTCGGGGGCAACTCCAGGTCCTACAAATAGCACGGATTTTGAGCAGAAACTTGGTCTCTTTTGTGACCGGTATAGTTTCAGTGCTTGGTGTGCTGTTGGCATTAAACAACTAATTCATAATGCCAGCATGAAACCACAAATCAAGTGGTGAGAGGGACAGATGATGTGAAATTTCATAATTATTTTTTTGGCTTAGAACTCAAATACCTTTAACAAATGTGTGTATAGTTCACTGGTATTTTTCTTCCTACAGCTGTATCACTATACAATTATAAAACATTACAAATTACACCTTCCGAGCTCTGACCCAGGAGATGACATTTCATTTTCAAAAAGGACATAATATAATTCCTAACAACTTAAGAGACTTAGACTCATCTTTAAAAGCGTCACCAAAATGGTCATGAAAATGCTTTCTGAATATCTGTGCTAAGTGACACATTCTCAACAAAATGTTTGCCTGTGGGGTTTTTTTTTTTGTCAAATGGTAATAAAATTCAGATGTATAAACACAACAAAGAAAACAATCAGGGCTTATTTTTCCCCGTGCAAAGTACGTGTGCTTGCATGCGCCCACACACACACAGAGATATTTGTATTAATGTGAGTATATTGAGTAGACTTTGTCATATCTGTATCAATAACCAGCAATATATATAGCTATGCAGATAAAAATAATGTATTTTAATAGTTGTGTATATGTAAATTTCTTTAAACCAAAATAAACCAAATCAACCTTGAATATCTAGATAGACACAAAGACATATTTGTAGCTGGACCTTGTGAAATAAGTCCTTGTCCGTGACAAGGAAGAGCAGGCTGAGCCATCTGCAGGAAAGGCTCTTTCCTATCAGCCTTCAGAGAAAGGTTAACAGCAACAGGGAAAAAAGCCGCTCCCGTCTTTTACTTGAACGCGAACTCCGGTACGCGCAACACACTAACGCAGAAGCCTGACGTACTGTAACCTTGCCGAGCTGGGCGCAAGGCAGCCTAGCCTTCAAGCCGACAGAGCGGCTACCCACACGTTAATCACGGCCGCGGAAGCCCGGGGAGGCTGCCGGGGAGTCGGCACATTGAGCGAGACCTTACCTGTTCCAGGTAGCGTTGGAGCAGGCCCGTCGCTGCTGGGTCCCCCGCTCATCCAAGGCTGCCTGCTCTCTCTTGCCCAGATCACTGAGGCTGGGCGAACTCATGAACTTCAACCTGCGAAGAGTCCTCATGGTCAAATGTGTGTTTGCGCGTGGCAGCTACAGATACACCATCCTGTTTACACACACACACACGCAGCTGGAGCAGCGGCAGCAGCAGCAGCAGCAATGCGAGCAGTTCCCTCCGTTTGCTGTTCAAAAAAGAAACTTAAAAAAAAAAAAGAAGAGAGAACCAGTCTCTACGGAGCACACCTCTGCCAGCAAGAAAACAAACCTTTAATCAGATCAACTCTGACGTCATCAACTGTGGTTAATAATTTCACCAGTCCTTTCAAAAAATGAAAGTCGAACTTCTGGCTGCTGCTGCAGCACTTTGAAGGGGCTCTTTGCGAGGGCTTCCCCTCCCCCTGTCCCCGGGCACCACGACCCGGGAATCTTGCTCAGCGCCGCGGCGGCGTGCTCCACCTGTCGTGGGAACTGCTCGGCTCCTCCAGCGGCTTGGGGGGGTCTGTTAGCATTTCTCAACCTCACCCTCTCTCTCTCTGCACTCACAAATGGAAATGAAACTGGAGGGCAACGGACAGGAAAAAAAAAAACCAAACCACCCAAGCAACCAATACTGACGCACTGAGACTTTATTGGAAAGTTTCATAACTGCCTGTGCCCTGCCACGTTACGACACTGCACACACGCGCTCTTGCTCCCTCGCTCATACATATACATACACGCACTCCCGTACACACACAGCACAGCCTCACGGCTCGCCTCGGAGGCTGCTTCAGCTGAAAGTGTCACATAAGCCACAAGATGGAATATACTCGCAAGCAACATGACTGCAGAATGAAAAGTGCTAGTTTGGGTTTTAGCATTTTGAGGAATTTTTGGTGGTACACAGAAAAGCCAGACGCTTTGTCTTTCTCTGCTTTTTTTTTTATATTGAGATAACAGCTGCGCAACTCGGGGCATACTCAGTTTCTACAAAAGCCCCAGGTGTCTTATCTTCAAAGGAAAAATCTTCTTTCTCTCTCTGACTGCAGCACTGGAGCTGAAGGATATGCTGCTACAAGACTCCAGCCCGCCGCGCTTAGCTCGCTGTCACTCACTCACACTTCTGTTTTAAATTCAGGAGTGCCCAGCTCATCTGCTGAGAAGTAATGCAACAAAATAGCGATTAGCTTTCTCAGAAAAGAAATCGTTTGCGGTGGACTCAGCCAGAGCATAAAAGCTACTCTTCTGTTGCTACAGCATTGGGCTGCAAATAGTCTGGTAAAAGCCAGAAGGGCTCCTTGCAGAGTAACCTTCCACTCACTGGAAGGGGGCTGCAATACAGAAGAACTTACCTTTTCTTCCCCACTTTCTACTTACTCTTTTCAGCTGTGATAACCTATTGTCTAGATTTGGGCTATAATTGGATTTGTTTTGTCCAAATAATATGGCAGAGCTTCCATTACATGAAAACTGAATTTCTCACAGTGAGATCTGCCCTATGTGCATCATTTACTGACATATCTTAGTAAAAACTGATTCCTCTCACTACTCACCCAAACTCAGCTAAGCTCACTGCATATAAATACTTACTTCCAAAATTTATATTTGGTATTACCTCCGTGAGAACCAGTTGCAGAACTACCTAGGGAAATAAATCCATTTTTACCTTGTGCTAGTTTTAGCAGCAGTAGTTTTAGCCAGCTCCGTGGATTAGCGTTATATTGATTGTCCTTCCCACACCAAAGCCCTCAGGTATACAAAATGAGCATCACAGTAGATGGCACGTAACATTTCACTTCGGGAGGGACCTGCAGCTCCACATCTAACCTCCGTACAAAGACACGGCTATCCCCGGTCTCTTCCAGACGTTTAAATCCTCCAAACAAACGAACAACAATCCACTATGTACACAGCAGCGAAAGGAAAACAAACACAACAATATATGGCTGTATTCTAGGGAATGAGATGGCTTCTACAGCATACAAATCAGTGACCAAAAATAGATACACCAGAACACTGCTTTGTTCAAATCGGATGAAGGGCACTCCATTTCTGTGGATAATACAGCCCAGGAGAGCAAGGGAGCACAACTCAGTCTGAGCTTCTGCTGAGGGCTCAGCTAAACATGCGTCTACCCTGTTAAGTGAAACAACTAGTTAGATAAACCTGTGGCAATATAATTCCATCTAATTTCATTTTCCATCTAGCTCAGCTGCTTTTCTGCCTCTCACTTGCTGTGAATTTGATAGGCCTTGCAAAATGTTATTATACTGGATTAAACCTTTGGAATTTTTAACTCTTTGATCCCTCGGCAGCACCAGAGACTTTATAAACGGTACCCTGATGATGCCAGTATGTCAGCAGTTACACAGTAACATTTCATCTGCTTTTTTCCTAAAATCCTCAACTTGCTAAACTGAACCCAAGGAGCTGCTGTGTCAACCTTGGGATACGCCAGACAACACTGCAAAAAGCAGTACTTGGCTTCCTCATAAAATGCTGAATCCCAAGAGAAGGAAAAAAAAAAGACCTCTGTCCCTCCATATGTTGAAATATTACGCCTATAGAAGTCAGACTATTTTTATGCCACCCCATCAATCTCAGTAACCAGTACTAGATTCAGAGTCGACGCTTGCACAAAGCACATGGGAGAAGCAGCATTCCAGTCTCCTGAAAAATTTCAGATTGAGGTAAGAGAGGGCAGGCTTTCTCTACACTTCTTCCTACAATTCCACCTGATCAAATGTTGATTTATGATAAAATTAATTCTTTTCAACAAGGGTTACCTCCACCCATAATTACCGAGTAATACTTCACATTTAGATTGTGCTGTGCATCCACAGACATCCTTGACTTCACGGCATTCATTAATTCAGCCCTGAGCAGCTCTTGGTATGAAGGTAAAAGATAACGATCCGCGCTTCAGGATGAACAGTGGAGAAGAGAAAGGTGATGTGACTTGCCCAGGCCACCCATGAGCAGGTGGCAGAGATGTCAAGAGATCCCAGGACCTCCACCTCCCATTCCAGCACACTACTGAGGGGATGCTGCAGGGACTGAGCAGACAAGGACTCCCTGAGCCCAGGAGGCCAGAGGGTGATGTATAAGACAGAGCTCTTTGCCAGGGCTTGCAATGCGGCCGTTCCTCTATAGCCACTTCTGAAAAGAGTTGTCACAATACAGCACGGCTTCAAGATTGAGAGATTAAGCAGCAGAGATTGCTCGCTGTTGGTCATGGAGAGGGTTAAGGGCACTGACCAGACTAATTGGGAGGGAGGGCAGGACAGGGGATTGGCGGGGGCCCTCCCGTAGGCTCAATAACCAGCACTACAAGCTTCTTAAATAGAATAACTGCACTCAGCACATTTACAGAGCCGAGACTGTAAAGTACTGTTACTTAATTCATTTAATCCCAGCATGCCGTCCACGGTGCTAATACCACTATTTCACTCACAAGAAACCTGCAGCTCAAAGGTTAAGTGATTTAATCAAAGCCACACAACCACCTCAGTGTAGAAGGCACATCCAGCCCTAGCTCCTGCTCCTTCCCTTCCCCTCCAACATCTCTGCTCATAAAAACAGGCCTGTGTCTACTAGAAACTGTTCTTTCATCTGTGGGGCCCACATCCTGCGGGTGACTGCATGGCAAGTCCCACAGCTGCCATGGTGCTGGAGACGTAGGGGAATTCTGCTCACCTGGACTTGCTTGCTATCTTGAGGCTTAAAACAACGTACACCACTTACACGAATATAGGCTGACAGCCCAAGAGGTTTTATGCTGTTATTACAAGACAACGTTAGCATGCAGATTCAGGACTTATACAATAATCACCAAGGGTAACTCTGTAGTTAACCTACTGGTATGCCTGTAACGCCTGCAACATTCTCACTGGGAGCTGTGGTTCAAAGATCACACTGCTGGCCCTAGAAAATGTTTTAAAAAACCCAGGCAGGCCTCCCCAAGCATACACTTGCTTACAAAAGAATGAGATTTGCTAAAACAAAAAAAAAAAAAAAGGAGAAAAAACCCTACATTTTATTTACATAAGGCTATACTAATTTTTACAGTACAATTGTACGTACAAGTTTTTTCTTTTTGACAGTGATGAGAGGGGAAAGGAAGCAAAAAGTAACGTTGATGAACAGGAACACTAAGAAATTCACAATATATGAAATTCATAATAAAGCTGCCAACACTGTGACTGCTGCAGGTCAACATGTCTTCAGCTACACTGTTCTGCTACTGCAATGACAGGTTAACACTGCAGCAATATTGGTGCCAGTGGGAGGATACAATAAGCAGGAGAATTTGCTATCTCAGCTTTATTCACCAGAGCTTTGCTATACAAAAAACAACTCAATAAATATACATTTTAATTGAAAAAAAAATAATTAAAAAAGCCTGCTACTTCACTTAATCTCCCCTCCTTTTTTGGAGAAGAGAGCAGAAATCCTTATGGAAATGCTGAATGGTGTACGCTCTGCAAGTGAAGAACAAAGAGGTAAAGCGTATCTATGGCAGAAAGGAGTTAAAAACCTCCCTATACAAATGCACTTTAGTTTTTCATAAACCACACCACAAAACTTAGGACATGCCTCAACACATGCCAAAGCTCAGGAATTAGTCTTCTGAAAAAACCCACACTTCTTAAAGGCACAGCACGTCCTGCTGCACCAGCAGAGGAGGGGCAAGGCGGGCAGGAAGAAGGAGATGCAAGTATCACAAAAAAAAAAAAAAAAGGAGCGGAGGGGAAATGAAGTTGCAAACCTTAATGACTCATCAATTCCTTTGCTACAATATTCACATAAAGCTCCTTTATCATCAGAAAACAAAGAATGAAGAGAATAAAGAAATTATGAAACCAAACACCCTTCCTCCATCCCACTGACTCTCTGCAACTTGTGGAGATAAAGGCACTCTCAAGGGCAGTTTCTGCCTGTTGTTTATTGGGGCTGGTCACAGGACAGGCTTGGTTTTGCTAAGTCCTTTGTTTCTGCTCTCACCACAGCCAAACTCTGATTTATAGGAGGGCAGCTGGGCTTACTGAGCCATCTCCTCAACCTCTGAAACACCTCCTGTGTACTCCTGTACTTATGCATCCTGTGGCCAATAATGCCTGCATGACCACAGTTGCCTCCCTTCAGACAGAGCTGAGGTTTCTCTCCTTCAACTGCATGTAGGACTCACGGGGTTTCTTTATCTTTTACACTGTGAAAAA